AAATTGAGATTTGTAATTAAGATATTTGTGTAATAGCTAAACTGTATATGATAGTTGCAAGCGATTTGAGAGATGGGCCATGTTTAGTTTGAAGAAAAATAAATAATTAAAATCTTACCTTAAAAGCGTCTCGGCTTTTATTTATTTTGTGCCTAACGGATTGGTTGCTTTTATTTTATCTTTGTGCTTAACAATAATTGATAACTTTATTTCTTGTGTGCTTAATAAGATCGAAAGTTGATGAATATTCTTTGATTATTTGATTGTGATATTATGATTTATATTTTGTTGATTTTTTGAATCAAGTGTGTTGAATTGTGTTAGTAAACCTTTTATTATTATTAAAGTTCTATTATACTTTACCTTTACCCTTGAATGCTCAATCTTCGTGAAAGATTTGCATATGAGACCTTTCAGACCTTAGTGTTGCCCCAACCTTGTGGAACTTATTCAGTCTAACTCAAATCCTTGTTACATCTTCTATTTTCTTTAATTGAGTTGAATGTAAGAATACACTCTTCACTTATGTACATTTACAGTCAATTTCATAAGTAACATAAGTAACCGACCCCACATAACTTTCCATTATAAACGCTGATCATCTCTGTCTTTTTAGACCGGAGAAACTTATATACCAGGAATTGGATGCTCGTCAAGTATCCACCGCAAATACAATGAATTGTCATTTTAGAATTAATATCTCGACGCATAGTGACCTGATTCGAGCGAAACCACTACCATTCGATTTGTCTCGACTAGACATATCGAATGGTAGTGGTTTCGCTCGAATCAGGCACTATGCGTCGAGATATTGGGACGATTCATTTTTGTTGATATTAAAAATGATCGTCAAACAATGAATTTGCCCATTTTAGAACACAATACCTCGTTACGTAGTGATCGGGATTAATCAAAATTTATATCATTCGATCATCTCGACTGGATGAATCGAATTGTAGCATTTTTGCTTGAATTGCACTACTGGATGACAAGCATTGGTACACTAGACATTGAGATACATGTGTGCGGCATGGAAGTTTTGATGAACGTTCAATTCCTGAATATAGAAGTATGTCGGCTTATATCAAGCGTAAATGTCAGTTTTTGGTTGTTCTTTGTGCTCAAAAGATTGCTTGACATTATATGAAATTTTCACCGAAATAAAAGGGTTAGTTATTTATGATTCGCGTTATATATGAAGAGGCATTTTTAAAACAAAGAAGTCATTGATGATTTATGACATATGTAAATATATATAAATCTATAAAAATCATCATGATTAACGCTTGTTGTGTTCTTTGTTTCCGGAAAATTTCAAAGCATTACACATGGTTTTCACAAAGTTATGGGTGGTCGGTTACTTATGAAATTGACTGTATAAATAGTGTTCTATATTTCATACTGTAGGAAATTCCGTCTGTAAATCTAAATGTGTAGGGATTCCCGGTAACGGTCGAAATCCCGAATCACGAAAATCAAAATCCCGAATGAACGAAATCCTGAATAAATGAGATCCCGTGATAATTTTAGTATTACATGCATTTTGGGATACATGTACTATCGGGATTTCGAACTTGATGTCGTTCTTTCGGGATTTCGTACCAGACCCAGGAATTCCGTACAAACCAGTATTTCAATGTGTAGTTCCGTATTACAAATTTTATATATAGGTATATGTTAAATATATACCTTTCTCATAATCTTCGCGCGCTCTATATCATTTTTTTATCCAAAAAAATAACACGATAGCAGACATGAACAAAGAAAAATTCTGTAAAGTTCACAACAAGAATCTAATAAACTTCCACATGCGCCTTTAACATTCATTCGAGTCTTTTGTTGCTTACACATACACAATAAACCGGCTTTTACGCCAATTACCTAAAAAAATAAAAAGGATTCTTTTACGCGTCTCGTGTTTTTTTAATTCACAAAATAGATATAATGCATGTATTTCACAATTGTAACGATCATATTTGTGTGACATCTGTACATGGTCGTTAACGTTAATCCCGAAGATGGATAATCCGAAGATCATTCATGCATAACATTAATTACAGCAGCATAAATAGAACAATGAAAAATTTCTATATTAGAATTTATACACAGACCGTTTAGGATTGTCCAGAATTAATCATGGAAGCGTGGACTGCGTCACGGTAATAATGTGGAAGAATAATTATTTTGTGCCACCGAACATTATGCTTCCGATGGCTACAAAAATAAAGCTTCGCTTGCCAGAACAGCTTGAGTAATATTATGTTCCTAGTGCCCTTAGTCCAAAGTCATATTTATTTTACATTCTTGCGAAAATTTATTTGCTACTAAATCATTAGCCTGTCGTGATCAAATTAATTCAATTCTTATAGCATTCCCCAGTGTTTTATTTTATTATCATTTGTCCTAAAATTTGGTTATTCTATGCTCCTTTTCCCAAGAAAAATCATGAATTTATTTAATCCTTTGGTGTCTCTTGTAGTTATTTTCTTCTTCTTGGAGTTTTCCAATAGTAAGAGAATTCTACACCAAGCAGAAGAAGAAACTGAGATTTATTGGAAAAATTTTACGATGTCACTAAAGATGATGGCATTTCAAGGAGTTGCAGTTAATGTGCATTCGCCATTTCAAAGAGTTGTACATAATGAACATGGGCTATTTCCAAGATATGTAAGTGTTCTCAAGATTCATTGGATGGGTTAGGCTTTTATTTCTTCATAAAAAATGAATGATGGCGTCGCTGCAGTAACTGAATTGTAAGGGCTGCCCCTATCCCTAAAACTTAGCATATCCTAATTTCTCTTGCGAGTATCCTGTGTAATACAACATTACTAATTATACGTTATCTTTATTATGCTTTCAGCTTAGCTGTCATTCGGTAATTCATTAATGATATTGTTAGAATTCGATGAGGCGCAAGATGGCATACTTTTTATAAGAATTTTTTGTCCATTTGCCGATCCAACACGAGTTGCATCACTAGATTGACACAACTGATATCGGTTGAAGTTGGTGCAGTTACCTGATTTAATAATATTAACATGTTCTCTTTTTAATGCATTCAGGAAGAATACCTTTGTGATTCTATTTGTTGCTCAAATGTAATGCTCTTATTTCACTGGCGTGACCTGCAATATTTGTGATATTAGTATCGTTTGTATTGTGTTAATCACATATCTTCTACTTGTCTACTCAGTCGTATAGCTGTTGTTCAGAATATGGATACTGTTGTCCTTTTGGGGTAAAACATGCTTAATTTCTCCATTTTAACTACTAATAATCATCGACTTTCCTAAACCTATGCTCAATTTTTAATGCATTCAGACGAATGCTGTTTGTTGTCCCGGTGGTTGTGGCCCTGCGGTAATACGCTTAATTTTTCTCATTTTATAAACTTCATAACTTCAATTAATAATACGTTCTATTTATGATACTTTAAGGGCTCTAAATGTTGTGAAGATGGCATCCACTATGCCCCTGTGGTAATAAGCTTAATTTTCCGCATTTCATAAATTTACATTGTTAATATTAAATATCAACAGCCTTGCTAACAATATGATCAATGATTTATGATTCATTAAGGGAGCAACATGTTGTGATGACGGCACTTACTGCCTTTCGGTAACATTTCCCGACCTTACAATATGATATTTTCATTTTAACCGTTAATAGCATTCAATATTTATTTACGATTTAGAATAAGCCTGTTTGCTGTGACGATCAAAGCTGTGCTTCTGTGGTAATACGCCTCACTTTTATACATTTTATGACGCGATATTGTTAGCAGTTAATTATATTAACAATACTTTTGATTTTGTGCGCTCAGAATCAGGTTGATAGCCAGAATAAATGCTGTCCTCCGGTAATACGAACCATTTACTTTGAATCATTAATGATAATCCGTGAGCGGACAATAGTAAGGTTTTATTTGATGGCAAAGATTTCATTGAATAAGACTTTTTATCCTCACTCTCGTATTGAAACAAGAAATTTCTCTATGTTCATGCACGAAACGGCTTGCTAATCATATATTCCATATCAGGACAAACCTATTGCCATAAAAGGAGAATGCTGTTCTCTGGTAATACTTTTCATTCACGTTCTGTTAACAGTACATTGCTTTTTAATATCAGAATGTTATGCCAAAAAGTACCTCCCCCATTACTGAGTAAGGAATAATATGGTGTGACGTAGGGTATAATAAGCAGTGTCCTACGATAACATCTTCATCATCACTAATAACATCTTCTGATTCAGAAATCCATTACGGTTGATCAAGCTACTTGTTGCCCTCCGGTAATGCGTTTCATTTTCTCCACCATATGATTCAATTTTGTTAGTACTATTGATATAATCAATATTATTAACGATACAGTATGATTTACTTTAATGCGTTTAGGATAAACCCATTGCCTATAAAAATCAATGCTGTGCGAAAGTAATAAATTTTCATTTCCCCACTTTTTATGATAGGTAATTGAGCACATTTCCCTCATATTTACTAATTCATTTTTCTTTTCTATCGAATTCAGAGCTCTGTTAAGCTTGATGGAAGTTGCTGCCCTGATGTAATGTGCTTCGTTTTCTCCACTCTACTATATAATTTCGTTAACATGATTGCATCAAAATTCCTAAAAATATGTTTTATTTTTATGCGTTTAGGATAAACACATTGCCTATGATAACGAATGCTATAATAGTACCGATAATATTAATAACAACAATAACAGCAATAACAGCAATAACAGCAATAACAGCAATAACAAAAATAACAACAATAACAACAAGAATAATGACGATAATAATGATGATAATAATGATGATAATAATGATGATAATGAGGTAATTAATTTAATTCAATTTATGATAGATGGTAGCTGTACATGTTTCCTTCATCTTTAATAATACCATTTTTCTATTCTAAATGAATTCGGAATTCCGTTAAGCCTGATGATAATGGTCTTTGCCCTGATGTAATGCGCTTCATTTTTCTCCACTCTACGATGCCAATTTTGTTAGCAGATTATATTAATTACATTACTAATACTCTATTGCAGGATAAGCCTCTTAATGCTAACGGTATATGCTGTCCGCTGGTAAAAAACTTTCCAACTTTACAAGCTGATATTGTTAAACATTATTAGTATTAATGATAATATGTTCGATCAGGACAAACCTCTTAATATGAATGACACATGTTGCGCGGCGGTAATTCATTTTAATAGATCGTGACATTTTTATCCAACATTGCTGAACAAATGGTATTTTTTTTTTGACATATTCAGAATATGACCGTTACTAATGGCACATGCTGCGCTCAGGTAAATTCATTCTTCCACTCAGATGTGGTTATCATAAACATTACTAACAGCATGCTCTATTATCCATGCGTTCAGAATATGACCGTCATTAATGGCACGTGCTGCCCTTGGGTAATATTTCACACTCCGTAATGTGACATTGTTAACATAAATCTCACTAAACACGCGTTTTTATTTTTGATCGTTCAGAATAACACAGTTGTTGATGAAAATTGCTGCTCGCAGGTAATATTCTATTCGCCCATATATTACAACGAGATATTATTACTAACAGCCAAATCTATTTTTGTGTTCAGGATTTCATAAGTAGTGATGGTCGCTGCAAATCTAATGCTAATGTAATTCATTTTTTGCACTTTGCAAAATGTGTTATTCACGATCTCTACTATCCTAAGAGTATACTAAAAAACTGTTTTATTATAATATGTTAGGTTAGTGCCGCCTTCAGGTAATACATCTATGCGATATGATATATCATCCTTGTTACTAATGACGAGTTCGATTCATGATGCACTAGGGTGAAGCCAGTAGCAATAATGGTATATGCTGCTTTGTGGTAATATGTTAATTTCCACATTCTGTGATTTATCATTGCTAACTTTTACAATGAATGCTAACAACATATTCGATTTTTGATGCATTAGGCTAATTCTCTCTGCTTTAGATTATTATACGCGTTAGTGCGAAATTTATGCTACTACTTAGCGCTTTTCCACATCACGTAGGCTTACTCTGCGCCAAAAGTACTGCTTAAAATATCTTTTTTTGCTGTGTCCCCATTTACAAGACGGTATTTAGACGAATTAATAATGTCGTATTTAACTAATTATAAGCACACTTTTTATAATTTTATTTTTAACAATATTATGTTCGATAATATATACTATTAACATCATTCAAGTTACTGAATATGACCAAAGCGATATTGAATACCCCAAAGAATCGCTAATGTGAGAATATAAAAATCAGCATTTTTTTATAAAATTTACTAAATGTCTCACAAAATCTTTCTAATCAACTAATAACACCACCGTGCATCTATCAAAATTAGCAAAAATAGCTACCTTTTTTGATCTTAAAATTATGCAAAAATTAAATATAACTTAATATCTAATCTCGAAAATAAGCTACTCCATTTTTGAACTTGATGCAACAAAAAGATAGTTTATTTTCGGAGATATACGGCATTGGATAGAAAGTGTCAAAATCCTCTATTCCAAACTTATAATAATTAAGTACTTAAAAGATTGGACTTAGCTTTTAAGGCATATTGAAGCACAAAAAGATTATGACAAAAAATGCAAGTGGCAATTTATGATAATGTTTAAGAAAATGATGAAGTCTATGGATTTTTTTTATTCTAAATGCATAAATTTGTGGATCCAATCATTAAATTTTAATTGTTCAATAAATACATATGGTACCGTATATTTGCATATTACGCAACATGTTATTAACATTATCATTATTTGAAAATAAGGTATATTCCACTTTTTTGGACACCATGTCATCACTTTTTCAGGCCACATGATATAAATCTCGTGATTTTAAGGGGCAAATCCAATATCTAAAATTGACTTGTGAATTTAAATTTCGCAATTAAAATCTTATCTGAATATTCAATTCTGCACATAAATTTCATATCATTTTCATGTTTTATTCTAGATATTTTCAAGTTTTTATAAATATTAGAATATTGATTCATAGAGATTATAAATCTATTTTTTTTGGATATTTTCTAAAAATAAATATATATAATAAATTACTAATAAAAATATATGTTTTATCAAAAATACATTTAAATTTTGAATATAGCAAAAGATTGTTTATAAATAACTATATATTTTTAAGTTTAATTAATAAAAAAAATATTTAAATAATTTATTATATATATTTATTTTTATAAAATACAAATAAATTAGATTTACATTCTCTATTATAATTCATGAACATGAATCAATATCTAATATTTATAAAAATTAGAAAATATCTAGAATAAAGAATAAATTAATATTTTATAATTGAAATTATATGTTAAAACTTATTATAGACTAATTTTTATTAAAAATTTATAAAAAATTACAAAACTATTTTTTTCTTTTAAAATTTGCAAAGTAATAATTTATACTTTAAAATATTACAAAATTTTTATTATATTATAAAATTTAATATTTTAATTATTATATAAAAGACTACTATACTAATGAAAGATTAACTTTATATATTAATTATTAATTATAATTTTTGAGTATTTACTAATAATTTTTATTTTTTACTTTATAGATTATTTTCAGATAAATTTGATTGAAAAATTTCTTTATATTTTTATAAATATTATTATTATATACTTACTTTATACAGAGAAACTTTCCTAAATATATTTCTCTAGGAACTGATTATAAGTATGCATTTAGAAGAAGTATGTACTTAGAAAGTGTAATGCAAAAATATATCATATAATATAATTATACATCATATTATTTAAATCAATTAAATATCTTAATAATAATTATTATAATTTGTATCTTAATACAGTAATATTAAAATAGTATTGATTGAAATATTATTTTTATTATAATATTTAAGAAGTCTTAATAAAATAATTTTCTATATAAGATTATTCTAATTAATTGATCTAATCTTTCTAATAACTTCAATTACTCACTTACATTCTTCTATTATTTAAATTTATTAATATTATACTGACTATAATTATTAAAATTTCAATACTATTATTATTTGAGCTTTCAGTTTCAAGTATTTTTTCATTTAATTTTTGATTCTAAATAAGTTAACAAGCTTCTAATCATTCTTGAGAATCTTATAATAATTTTCTTATTAGAAAGAATTAAAAATTCTTCAACTTTATTATATTTAGAAGATCAAGAGTATTAAGAATCTTAGCAAGTTAAATAGTTAATAAATTATTAGTTTTTTGAATATTCAAAAAACTAGTATTAGTGAGAAGAATCTTGATATAATACTAAGAATTATTAATAGTCTCTGTAGAAATTTCTTTCCAGATCTTGATTATATATTTAATTACTTAAAGAATAATTATTTTCAAGTCTTTTACTAAATATTTTACTTTAACTATAATAATTTTAATTAGGTTATCTTTTTTTAACTCAGATCTTTATTTTGAATCATCTGTATAATAGATTAACTTCTATATTATATTTTATAAAGATCAATTTCATTCTGGATATATAGATAATTATTATATATTTAATACATTAGATTTAATATATTGTTATACAGATAATCATTATATATTCTATATTATTAATTTAGATAATTAATATTTTTAATTAGATATTCTTTTAATTATTCTTTTATTTTTTTACTCATTCTTATTAATTATTATTTATATTATTATTTATCATATTTATAATTATTAAATTATGATTAGTTACTTTTTAGAGATGCAAATCAAGTTAATTAATTTTGTTTAACTTATATATATTTTAAAATAGATTTTATTATTAATTTATTTGCTTTTGTATTCATTCTTTTTGCTATAAATAAGTACTATCTATTTTGTAATTTTATCTCAGATTTGAATACTTTTAAATAATAAAAATAATTATAAATTATAAAATTAAAACTATTTATATTATATTTTATCTTGTTCATAATTATTAACAAAATAATTTTACAACTTGATAATATCAAATATAGTTATTACAAAGATCACTCTCTAAAATTTTATATTATATTTTATATATATATATTTTAGTTTTTATAAAATAATATTATTAAAATAAATTCAGAATAATTCATATAATTTATGCAAAGCATAAATAAATTAATTAAGATAGTTAAAAAGATAATTCCTCTAATCCTAAGCCTTCATTTTATTTTTTAGTTAAACTACTTATTTACTCAGAAGAGTCAAATGAAAATGTATTTATCTGAATTATGCAAGTCAAAACTGTATTCTTGGTCCAAGAAATTATAAATGAAAAAACTCAAGTATAATATACAGTAGTCTTATTAATAAATATAGTATTATATTGATATCTTAATAAATAAAAGACTAATAATAATACTATTTCTTTTAAAAGTTAAAAAATCTTTGTGATAATACTTAGAAAAGTCTTTTAATTATCTTATTATTAGTAATATCTTCATAAATAACTTTATCTTCTTTGTCAAACTGGATTTATATAGAATTATAATATAAAATTCAAAAATTTAGTTAACTAAATTACAGATATAAGTGATCTAAATTAAATTATTTATTTATAAAAAATTTGAAATCTGCTATAAAGATAATAGTAAGTTATCAGATATCAGAAATCTTAAAAGATGCTTGAAAATTAGTAATCAGATATAATATAATAATATATAAACAAGATAGATTATTAGATTTATCAAGCAGATAATAATAATAGTATTATGATGAATCGGTAAGTGGATTTTCACTTTGATTCACCCTAACGATATAGGGTTGGGAGAGACTGAAATAATAAAATGTAACAAGAGGGGAATTAAACTATAACTTTCAATAATGACAAAGATTTCTAAGGCCTGAATGAGTTGAGTGACAGTTATATTTGCTTTTTGTTGAGCCAAATCTTCTAGAATATCATATGGTTCAGCCATGGTAGCGAGTACTGATAAAGTAATTTTACTTTTCTTTTTGCAAATAATCTTTTTAGCAAGTTTTTCTTCTACAGTTTTAGATGGTCCAGCATTATTCATATCTTGGTCAAGAATGACTTTAGGAGTATTCTCTTATTCTTTTTCTTCATCATCATGTGGTTCTTCAATTTCATTAACTATTTCTTTACGGAGTTGACCTATAGATCTGGTTTCATAAGAAGTAGTTCTGGAATTTCTAGATTTTCTTTCAGCAGCCAAGTATTCATGTGTATCAAGTAGTGAATTTATATTGTCAGGTTTGGCAGTTAATATTTGAATACTATCAGTAAGAGCTTGTATTTGAGCCAATAATGCATTCTGATTATTATTTGTATTTTGGTTATTGCCAGTATTTACCTGATTTGGTGACATATTATTTTGTTGCTGATTATTTCCATTCATTCTCTAGCAATTATTTCCAAAGTTGTTCTGATTATTCTGGTATGATTGTAGCTGAGGACAATTAGAACAGATATGACCTGGCTCATCACAATTATAACAAGTTGAGACTGGTTTAGGATTTGAATTATTAGACCTATAATCTAAACTATTTCTGTTATAACTTGATTCTTTGTTAGTTTTAATACTTTCTATTCGCTGGTTAAGATCTTGAAGTACTACTAGTATAATATTTAATATTGAGTTATCCTGGATCTGAGATTAATGATATTCTTGGGTTGATATATCTGCATCAGCTTTTTCTACATTCTTTGTAACTTATATCATATTTAAGAAAGTTCCATCAGCTAAGATCTGAACCTATTTTCTAATCTCTAGTTTCAATCCTCTTCTGTATGTTCAGATC